TTGGAATGTTTCATTTCAACCTAATTTCAGACTTGTAGATGTGGATTTCTCTACACCATTGACTCAGATATCAACATTAACCTCATTTACTTTATTCTTTTCTCTCCCTACTCTTTATTACTAAATTCATCAGTGTGAACTTTTTAGGAATGAGACATTCTCTTATGTAACAGTATGGTAATCTGAACCAGGAAATTCACATTGGTACAAAACTATTATCATCAGAATTTATTCTGCTCTTATTCATAGTCCCCATAATGCCCTTTATAGTAAAATAAAACCCTTACATGGGTGTTTTGTTTTTTTTTTTTGAGACGGAGTTTCGCTCTTGTTGCCCAGGCTGGAGTGCAATGGTGCGATCTCGGCTCACCGCAACCTCCACCTCCTGGGTTCAGGCAGTTCTCCTGCCTCAGCCTCCTGAGTAGCTGGGATTACAGGCACGCACCACCGTGCCCAGCTAATTTTTTGTATTTTTAAGGGATGGGGTTTCACCATGTTGACCAGGATGGTCTCAATCTCTTGACCTCGTGATCCACCCGCCTCGGCCTCCCAAAGTGCTGGGATTACAGGGCGTGAGCCACTGTGCCCAGCCCCCATTTTGTGGGTTTTATTCCATTTCCATATTTATTTAGTTTTATTACTTTAGAACAATTGCTCAATTTTTGTCTTCCATACCACTGATAGTTTTAAAGAATCCAAACCAGATCTTTTGTAGACTGTCTCTTAATTTCTGTTTGATGTTTCCTTGTGGATGGATTCAGGTCATACATTTTGGGTGAGAATACCACAAAAGTGATAGTGTGTCCTTCCTAGTACATAATGCCAGGACTCACATTAGATGAATTTATCCCTTTATTTATGTTAACTTGAACCAGTTGGTTAAAGTCATGTGTCTGTCTCCACTATAAAATCACTGTTTTCTTCTTTATAATCAATAATTATCCTGTAGGTAGATATTTTGAGGCTATGTAAACATCCTGCTACTGGTTTTATCATCCATTGACTGTGTTTGATTGACTCTATTATTATTGTGATGATTGACAAATGGTGATTTTTCTAACTTCAATCCTTCCACATTAGTTGACTTTCTACTCTAAAAAGGAGTATTCCTTGGCTGGGCGCAGTGGCTCATGCCTGTAATCTCAACATTTTAGGAGACTGAAGTGGGCGTATCACAAGGTTGGGAGATGGAGACCATCCTGGCCAAAATGGTGAAACCCTGTTGCTACTAAAATACAAAAAATTAGCCAAGCCTGGTGGTGCGCACCTGTAGTCCCAGCTACTTGTGAGGCAGGAGAATCACTTGAACCCAGGAGGTGGAGGTTGCAGTGAGCCGAGATCAGCCGAGAGCAGTGCCACTGCTCTCTAGCCTGGCGGCAGAGCAAGACTCTGTCTCAGGAAAAAAAAAAAAAAAAGGAGTATTTCTTTTTCCCCTATTTAATCTATTTGTCTGTCTCTTTCTCTGTCAGTATGGACTCATGAGTTTTTATAGTTTGGTGGTCACATTGGCCAAGTTTTGGCCAAATGGAGCTCATTTAAGCTTTTAACCTGTGTCCTTTTAATATGTTCTCATCATGTTTTGAGCACTTTCCTACTTCCTGGCACAAGATATTCCAGGTTAATCTGTCCTTGTCCCAGTTCTGAGATGGGCATTTTTTTCAAGGACCTCTACCTTCATTTAGTGGAGAATAGTATTTAGAAACCAAAATATGGGTGCTAGGGTGCTCATTGTGATTGAGATTTCATTGCTTCTAGGTACCTTCCATAGATATTAATACCTCCAATTTTAGTTCAAGTCAGTTTGTAATTCAGTTTGTAATTTCTAGAGGAGTCCTTTTTAAAATACCAATCCATGTGCTTTTTTCCTTTGAATTAAATCTATGATCTTTGCTTAGATGTTATGAGTGAATTAAAAATTATTGGTGAAAATTGTTTAAAATGTGCCAATTTTTGGTTTGGTTTTGGAGAAAAAATAGGCTGTAAACCAAATGATTTTGTAATTATATTTTTCTTGTCATTGTAGGAGTAAGAAAGGCTTGATACTTCTTCCTTAACTATATACAGGAAAGTTATTTTGTTAAACAGGCAGAGATATGCATAATCCATTTTTGGTTAATGTGGGAAATAAACACATGAGGCCACACTGCTTTTCTCCACAGGGACTGATCCCCATTTACCATATTCAGCAGAGGAGTATGAAAAGTTTGGTAGCAGTTACCTACTTAAGAAGTAAAACCTATTCATGTTAATTTGAAATCTCTAACTGTTGTCTTAGTTACCCAAATGTTCCGTTTTGATGAAAGAGACTTGATATAATTCAAGCTGTGTTGAAAAGATTCTTTGTTAGCTGCAAAAGCAAGCAGATTTTAGAGATCAGTTACTAGTAATGGAGTCCAACTCTCCATTTCCGGCGGGGGGCGGAAACTAGAGTTTCATCCTATATACCAATTTCAGTACATACAGTGACAATGACATCACCTTGGATTATGGTGTCAAAAAATTCTGAGGGCATTCCTGGATTGGTTGGAGATGAGCCTTGTGATCATTTAGTGATGTTTGTCACGGGCACACAAATAAGGAGAGGGAAGACTGTAACACAGTTAGCTAAGTCGTCTTTGAAATGCAGCTGATCTTCTTACTATTATAAGGGACATCTTGGAGTAGAAAGAACTGTTAAGATTTAAATCAGGAGACCCAGGTTTAAGTCTTCACCTAGGTATTCACTCTGTGGTCTTGGGATCCTAAATTCTGAGTCTTCATCTCTAGAATGGGAGGACTGTTTACCACTTTTCTTTCCTACCTGTCATGCTGTCTGGATGGGTAAAGAAGACAATGTAGGTAAACGATTTTGGCAATTAAGTACAAAGGTGGAGAATTGATACTTCAAATTAAAATGTTTTGTGCAGGATATGTGATCTTAATATCAAAGCCAAATATAGAAGTTAGCAAAACATTTCTGAGATCTGTTTCCTTCTTATTTATGTATATCAGCAAGAATGTGGAGCTGCTGTAGCATTATTGAGAAAACCTTAAACTATTTCATGGAGACATACTTTCCATAATTAACAATGTGTCCAACTAAAACCAAATAGTCTCCATTTAATCCATGGTTGCCTTAAACAATATATTGTATTAATTTCTTTCTAATGATCATACATAGCTTGTTGTGTGATTTATGGGCTTTGTTATATTTATTACTGTTATTATTTTCCTCATTTTGTTATCAAAACGAGGCTTTCAGTGAACATCTTTCTAACATACATCACTTTCTACTAGTCAGATAAACGTAAAACTTAGGTGAAGAGTGGACTGTATAGAGTGCTACAGCTCTTTCAGAATTTACCTAGCAGATTTTTCAGTTTTTACTAGAAAAACCAGTAGAAAAAAAAGAATAAAACATGGTATGATGCGTTTTTCTTTGTTTTTAAGGCATTTATTTAGACCAGTCTTTGCAGGGGAAAAATACACTGAGCTAATGAACATTTTATAGTTATTGTAGTTATTTTATTGGTGGGATTATAGGGAACTTTAAGTAAGTAAAGCCACATTTCTGTAATGTTGGAATTTTCCAAAGTGAGTATTTTTTATGTATATAATTCAGTAAACAGAATGAAAAACTTGGTGAGTTAAGAGTTTCCTTTGAATTTTCAATATTGCAAAGTGATATTGAAATATCAAATATTACTCCAGGGTGGGTAGCTGGACTCCTGCTTGTATATTTCCTTTTAAGAGTCACTTAACATTCTCATTTCTACAAGCTCATAGCATATGGCATCAGGTACGGAAATACATAGGTGTCTGTCTCATGCTGAAACCTTGCAGTTGGGATATTGGGTGCTTCTGTTCGGCAGTCTCTCTCCCATCCTCTTCTCGTGTTGGAGTTTACTTTGTATTGACATTGTAATTTTGTGGGAGTTCTGACTCCACAGAAGTTTAACTCTTCCTTTCATAAAGAGATTTAGTTATGTAATCCACAAACCATTTTAAAATGAAGAATAAATTGAAAGTAACCAGTGTCCCCATTAAAGTTTTTGAGTGATGATTAAGTCAAAAAAATTAAAAGTTAAATCTTGGGTAATTTCCTGAGGACAATAAAACAAAACACTAAACTCTTGACAGCAATACAGGTCAAATATGTTTTATATTGTCATCTTTACTTGTGATATCTAGACACGTTAAATATGGGGGTTTTCCATCAAAAAATGGGCAAAGGATATGAACAGACACTTTCCAAAAGAAGACATTTATGCATCCAGCAAACATATGAAAAGAAGCTCATCATCACTGGTCATTACAGAAATGCAAATCAAAAACACATTAAGATACCTCCTACCTATCGCCAGTTAGAATGGCGATCATTAAAAAATCAGGAGACAACAGATGCTGGAGAGGATGTGGAGAAAAAGGAACACTTTTACACTGTTGGTGGGAGTGTAAATTAGTTCAACCATTGTGGAAGACAGTGTGGCAGTTCCTCAAGGATCTGGAACTAGTAATTCCATTTGACCCAGCAATCCCATTACTGGGTATATACCCAAAGGATTATAAAACATTCATCTACATACACATGCACATGTATGTTTATTGCGGCACTGTTCACAATAGCAAAGACTTGGAACCAACCCAAATGCCCATCAAAGAGACTGAATAAAGAAAATGTGGCATGTATATACCATGGAGTATTATGCATCCATAAAAAAGGATGAGTTCATGTCCTTTTCAGGGACATGGATGAACCTGGAAAACATCATTCTCAGCAAACTGACGTAAGAACAGAAAACCAATACCACATGTTCTCACTCATAAGTGAGTATTGAACAATGAAAACACATGGACACAGGGAGGGGAACACCAGACACCAGGGCCTGTCGGAGGGGGAATGTTGGGGGTGTTAAAGGAGGGATAGCAGTGGGTGGGGGTATTGGGAGTGCTAACATTAGGAGGAATAGCTAATGTAAGTGACGGGTTGGGATGCAGCAAACCACCATGGCATGTGAATACCTATGTAACAAACCTGCATGTTCTGCACGTGTCCCCCAGAACTTAAAGTATAATTAAAAATAAATATGGGGGTTTTGAGAGCAGTAACCTTATATTTTTTTAAGTAAGTTTTGTCTTTTCATCTGTTGCTATAACACAAAAAGAGCCAGATGCATTTTTATTGAATTTGGAAGGTGTGTTTGGGATGGCCTGACTTAAGTGCTAATCTGTGAAGTATATGTAACATGAGAGAGCACTAGGGTAGCCATTCAAAGCAGTAGGCAGATATTGTGGAGTGAAACTAAGCACAATGCCTATAGACTAGGGTGGTATGAACAGGCGGAAAGAGTGTTGACAATCAAGAATTGTCAATGGGAATTGCAAATAAGGAGACACAGCAGAATGGCAGCTGCAAGCACTGATTTGCAATTATGCCACTTTGGGAACTCTGAGTACTCCAGGGTGGGTAGCTGCCACAGCTTGCTTGCTTCTAATGAGGATTAATGATTCCTTTGAGCCTTACAGTGGAGGGCAGCTGGTATGGAATGAGTCTGCCACACCAAGTGCCACAGTGCTCAGTGGAGATCTCTGGCTTTTACCCTGTTAAGTCTATTTTGATGGCCACATTGACTGCTTAGAAACCAGGTCCCACCTCTTTTCTCCTGAGAGAGGCACTCCTTTCTGCCCTTTTGGCGCTTTTGATTCTCTTTATTTCCTTCTTCTCTTCCTTCTTTCCTGCTAGCCCTAGTGGATCATTTGACAGCTTTCAGGGATCCAGAGAACCTAAAGCCTAAGTGTTTGGTTTCCTAGGCACTCCCTTACCCTACAAAAGACAAATGCAAGTCAGCTTTTAAAACAAGCTAAGTGTGTTTATTTTTTATTTTTCAATATTTGAAGACACTCTGGGGTGGAACAAAATTGATGCCAAGAGTCTAATTTAAAAAGACGGTTTTTTTGTTCTTTCCATAGAATGATTTTTGCTAGGAAATGTATGTATATTTCCAGACATACTGATTTGAGGGACCCATTAGCCAGATACATGCAACCTGGTTAGGGGTTGATTTTAAACATTGGATAGAGGCTGAATTATATAGCATAATCTATATAATTGTTATGAATTGTTAAAAATCTTCGTGTTATATCAGTTCTTAAGATAACAGTAGAAGAGAAACCAATAGTAGTCATATGTTCATTTGTTGGTGTGCACTGAGTTCTGCCTAATAGGAGATAGGTCAGGATACCCAGAGAACTAGTACATAGTAAATTCCCTGGCTCTAGGGAGTTTATATGTGAGACTATGTTTAGAGGAAGATAACTGACACTGAGTTAATTAGAAGGGCAGCCAGTATAAAACAGAGATTAAGAGCCACGGACTCTGGAATCAGATCAGCTTTTGAATTCTATTTCTACCATTTGCTAGCTTCATGATCTTGGAGAAGCTTCTTATCTTTGAGCATTGCTTTCTTCTATAAAATATGGATAAAGTTGCCATAATAAAGAAAATATTCTTTGTGTGTCTGAATACTGTAAATTTGGCCCCAGAATAAATGCTCACCAGGGGGTTAGCTATGCTACATTGTTTCCTGTGGGTCTTTAGAGACTGGGCTGGAAGAGCCTTACAAGCAAGCCAACACTTTGATGACGGCTGTATCGCACAGTTTCACAAACCCGAAACTACACTTGTGAATAGACCATTTTAATTTGTTTTTTATTTCCTTTTGAAATTAGTGACCCTTTGAATCTGGATTGAGTAAGAGCTGCCACTTCCTATGGCCATATAAATCACAGTAATTGATCAATCAGGAGTAATTCTTAATTTACATCTTAGTGTGAACAACATGGTAATTCATTGCATATGTGCTGACGTAAGTGTTCCAGAAATAAGGTTAAACAACCGAGTGTTCAATATCAGCTATTTTTAAAGTGCCAAAAACATTACGGTTTCTGTTTTTATGTTGACTCACAAGGAGTATTGGGATTTTCTTAAAATTATGAGTAGTTCATATTTCTTTAGCAAAAATGTTCCTTAAAATTGAAATAGTTGAGTTTCTTTTTAGGGTACCTTTTTATGTCTTGATATGATGTGATACACCATTGTAGAAAAATTGAAAAATAAGACATAAAGATGAATATAGAAATTCTTACTGATACTATTAACTTGACAAAATCTTTATCGGTTTTCTCATTCAGGAATGGATATGGTAGCTTCTGTATTAGAAATCTGATGGGGCATGGGAATTGCATAAGGAAACACATAATATTTTCATTATTTGTTCCAAAGTCTAGTTTAAATGAAGTGGGAGAACTTCAAGCAAAATAGGATTAAGTATGATTTTGTTGCAGTGTTATTATTAGATTTCTGATACTTTGTGTCATTCTTTGAAATATCTGAAAGAGTGTTCTTATAAGAAACGTGAGTGAGATAATATTATCATGAGGGGGAATTGGAATAGAATTGCTGGTGATATGGGAATTTGTAGAAGCAAGAGGATCAAGGTAAGTTTGAAAACTACAAAAAAAAAAAAAAACACTTTCTTTTTAGATGATGGTACCAAAGTTGTTAACATTTATTATTTCTCCATTCAAATGCCCAAGTTAGCATCTTAGTACCTAGAGGACTAATTCCCTCTGGTCTGTGAACCAGTAGAGAGAGGCCTGATCAGAGGAAGGACACTAAGCACTGAGTTAGACGGAATGGTTTTCTCACAGAATTGTTACCTAAACCTTGGTATTTGAATTCTACTGAAGTTCCAGAGGATACTTTAACTTTTATTAGCTACAGTCTTTTAAATCTGTGTTTTGTCTTTTTTTTTTTTTTTTTTTTTTTTTGAGACAGAGACTTGCTGTGTCTCCCAGGCTGGAGTACAGTGGCGTGATCTCAGCTCATTATTGCCTCCGGTTCCCAGGTTCAAGCGATTCTTGTGCCTCAGCCTCCCAAGTAGCTGGGATTATAGGCGCCTGCCACCCCACCCAACTAATTTTTGTATTTTTAGTGGAGGTGGGGTTTCACCATGTTGGCCAGGAGGATCTTGAACTTTTGACCTCAAGTAATCCACCTGCCGCCCAAAGTGGTGGGATTGCAGTTGTGAGCTACCAAGCCCAGCTAATATGTGTTTTGAGAAATAATATTTTTTAGATTATTTAGCATTAAAGGGCTTGTAAAATACATATGTATATGTATGACTCTATATGTATATTATCCATGGACATTTATGCCCGAACCTCACACACTTTGTTGGCTTCACATTAGTAACTCATGAGATTTTGCTTTCATTTTGTATAAGTCATTTGTTGAAGACCCGAAGACGAATTAGATGAAGTTTCAAGCTGGTTTTTTTTTTTTTTGAAATGGAGTGTCGCTCTCGTTACCCAGGCTGGAGTGCAATGGCGCAATCTCGGCTCATCGCAACCTCTACCTCCTGGGTTCAGGCAATTCTCCTGCCTCACCCTCCTGAGTAGCTGGGATTACAGGCACGCACCACCATGCCCAGCTGATTTTTTGTATTTTTAGTAGAGACGGGGTTTCACTACGTTGACCAGGATGGTCTCGATCTCTTGACCTCATGATCCACCCGCCTTGGCCTCCCAATGTGCTGGGATTATAGGCGTGACCCAACGCACCTGGCCAAGCTGTTTTGTATATAGTCTGCATTTAATAATCTTTGTTCAATCTTTGTAATAAATGAAAGGAGAATCCTTTGGGCAGATGGTATTATGTAAAGTGGTGACAAGGAAATCTTTATTTTCACATAGGGACTTAATTACTTGTGAAGTGTATTTATAGGTAACTTTAGGTTGGTTTGCTTGATATACTTAGTAAATATTAAAAGTGAAATTCAGAGATTCTTCATCTGTTACACTTACTAGATTTAACAGAACATACAGGGAGTTACACTGATTCAAAGGGAAAAGGACAGGAAGGAAATTGCTATTTCTATTTAAATAACATTTTTCTTTTTTCCTTTAGTTTGTTTAAAAGTTAAGCCCATATGAAGTGTTTGTTTCCTTTTGTCATTAGAATATTAAAGGATTCACTAATAAGAGCTGTTTGTGGCCATTTATAATAATTCATCCCAGTTCTAGGTGATATTTTAAAACTTTAGTAGAGATAGAAGAGAGAAATTCGATGTGCTTCCTTTCATTCTGAGTCAGCTTCTTCCAGTCTTGATTAAGCATGATGTTTGTGACAAATATAAACCAAAAGCATATAAAAATGACATCCTATCTCCTGGGAGGATGGACCATTAAACTGTTTTATGAATACGCAAGAGAGGAAATCAGTCCTTCTGATGTATCATGGGATAGTGGAGAGAGTCCCCTTCATTGGAGGAAAATCAGAGTGAAGGATGGTCAGTGAAGCCTGTTTAGCATTTTGCACTGATCATCAAACCTAAACAAGTGTTTCTCAGACTTGAGTCAGCCATGTACCACTTGCTCAGTTTTTGCCATATACGTGCCACCTGTTTTGCTAAATGCTTAACATTATTCTTAAAGCAACATTCTTTTAACTTCATTTTGAAAAGAAATTGTCATGACTGTAAATGGAAAGTCATTGTCATGTGTTGTAAATAAAAGAGTCAATATAAACAATGAAAATGTAGAGTTAGTCAATTTAAACTAGAGAGTTAGCTGAAAACTCTGGTCCTTGAGCCTTGCTTTCCCTTGTCTAAGTGAAACTATTCAGTGGGTGTAGAAGTCAGGACAATGTCGGGAAACGGGCCTGAGGAGGGCTTTTGAGGATGCTGGTCCCATTCTGCTCCCGATCTGGGTAGTGGTTAAGGAGTGTGCTAACCTGTGGAAATGTACCAAGATGTACACTTGGGATGAGTTCACTTTCTGTATGTTACATTTATATAAACTTTATCTTTAAAACTGTTGTTACCTGTTTATAATAGCAAAGACCATGGATCCAACCCAAATGCCCATCAATAATAGGCTGGATAAAGAAAATGTGGTAAGTATATACCATGGAACACTCTGCACCCATAAAAAGGAATGAGATTATGTCCTTTGCAGGGACATGGATGAAGCTGGAAGCCATCATCCTCAGCAAACTAACACAGGAACAGAAAATCAAACACTGCATGTTCTCGCTCATAAGTGGGAGTTGAACATTGAGAACACACGGACACAGAAAGGGGAAAAGCACACACCAGGGCCTGTTGAGGGGTAGAATGTGAGGGGAGGGAACTTAGAAGACAGGTTAACAGGTACAGCAACCACCATGGCACACATATACCTGTGTAACAAACCTGCATGTTCTGCACGTGTCTCTTTTTTTTTTTTTTCTAGAAGAAAGAATTTTTTTTAACTGGTGTTACAAACATTTTTGCCCCAAATTGACTGTCCTCTAGATGTGAGCAGATAGGTTAGAGATTGACAGTGGAATGACTTTAACTTGGATTAGAGATTGACAATGGAATGACATCATGTCAGTCAATGTCCTTTAAATGGCAGAGCCCAGGGCCACTTAAAATAATGTGAAGTGCTCCCTGACTTCAGCTTGCCCAGGGCTGTCTGTACCAGTCTGAGCTAACCTCTTCATGTGGCTGCTTTGGTTTGGTTGGTTGAGAAAAGGAAGAGTCCTTGGAGATTAGAATCCACTGTAGAGAGGAAGAATTCTTTCACTGCTAAAAACTTCAGAGGCTGGAAGGTAAATATTAATGTCCCTGACCAGAAACTGGAGAATCCCTCTTTGATAAACAAACTTTTGTTTGTTCATATACATCTCTGAAAAACTATACTATCTTTTTGCATCTGTAGCTATTTACTCTACGTACATTTGTCCATCGTGACCCAAGCATAAATATAAGTACAACTCAAATAGCAACTCATTCTGCACTGTTCTTTGAAAGAGTATTCTGCAAACTTTTTTGGTACTGACCTCCAGTAAGAAATACATTTTATATATGACCCAGTATAGCACTCACAAATGTAAGTGGGTCTGGTATGTATGTATAAAAATGAAAAAAGTTTCATGCGAGATATTTACCCTTACTACATGAAATGTAGTCTGGTTTTTTTTTTTTTGAGACGGAGTTTCGCTCTTGTTACCCAGGCTGGAGTGCAATGGCGCAATCTCGGCTCACTGCAACCTCCGCCTCCTGGGTTCAGGCAATTCTCCTGCCTCAGCCTCCTGAGTAGCCGGGATTACAAGCACATGCCACCATGCCCAGCTAATTTTTTGTATTTTTAGTAGAGACAGGGTTTCACCATGTTGACCAGGATGGTCTCGATCTCTTGATCTCGTGATCTACCCGCCTCGGCCTCCCAAAGTGCTGGGATTATAGGCTTGAGCCACCGCACCCGGCTTAGTCTGGTATTTTTATCATTTTTCTTTTAATGCTGTTTGCCACCCACTAAGTTGATTTCATGGCTCACTAAAGAACAGTGGCCCACAGTTTGAAGACATTCTGCTTTGGAGGACAGAGCTGTGCCTTTGTGTTAACAGCAGATGTCTTTCTGATATTGTACCCTGGGGTCTGTTGGATCTGCTCATGGTATAACTAAATCAAACCTGTTGGGAAAAGAACAGAGTCAAATTTGATATTAGATTATATAGGACTATATTTATATCTCCTCTATGTGTCACCTTTCCACTTACGAACTTCTTACTTGAGGCAAAGTTCATGGGCTCTGCACAGCACCAACAAGCGGATGGTGTTAACTGCTGGTCGTTTGCATCATCATAGACTTACCACAAAGGGATGTTGCTCCAGCCTTTGGAGGCCTAACTCATTTCTAAGTGTGGAGCTTTCATGTGCAGGGTAATTTCATCTCCAGTTGAGGACATTTGTATCAGCTTAATGTTCCATGTGGATGCTTTGTGTGGCACGTGTGGTGATTGCCTGCACTCTGGATTCTGGTGAGAAGGTAGTAAGTTATACCTAAATAGGCTTCTGAACCCAGCATCTCTGAGACTCCCCTGGTGAAGTGTCCCTGTGAGATTTGCAGTTTGTTAGGAAAAGGTCAAGGAAAGCCCTGCTTGAGTGTAAGCTCTTGAGAGCAGGGACGCATTGTGCTCTGTGCACCCCATATTCTCAGTACAAGCACCGTGCCTGGTACAGAGTATTCAGTCAGTAAATGTGTGTCGCCTGACTCAGAAATAGATGTTCAAGTCACACAATCAACTTTTGAGAGCAAAACTGCAGGCAGTCTAACATTAGAAGCATTCAGGGCAGGTGACGGTATGTCATGAGGCCTTGGGGGCATTTGATACTGTGACAACACCTCCTGCAGACAGGTGGAATCTGCCAGCTGTCCGCACAGGAATAGCAGCGGGTTAAAATAAATATTTCTCCCAATGCCAGGAGGAATTTAGGAGTAAAGAGTTCCTTTATTTAGAAGCAGGGGAATGAATGGGCTTGCCAGAGAGAAACCGTGAGGAATCCCTAATTTTGCTCTTTTTCAAAAAGATAAATATAATGGTACCGTAAGAAAATCAGGAGTTTAATTTTTGGTATTCCACATTAGGTTTTGTAAAAACTAAACTTTGAATGTTTGCTGCATTTATGAATTCCAATATTTGTATTTTAGGTAAACTTTTTTCTTAGTTCTGTTTAACAAGACTTAGGAAATTGCGTTGTCTCTGGTTGACTGGCTGTATGCAAGACAGTGTAAGTTTCCTTTAGCAGTTGTGCTTTTTGCTTATGAAGGTGCCAGCTTTGCCACTGTATTTGGGAAATATTTAAAATTGGTCATCTTTCTCCTCTCCTTCATTCTTGGATCTTATCTGCCTGTTGAAACCCGTTTTGGCAATATAAAATCGGTAGCAACTAAGTTCTGGAAGATGCCTTTGCTGACATCTATTTTGAGTGTGTCATTTCTTCAATGGAAGTTTAGTCTCTATTGTTGTCACAGAATTTCCATACATGTTCCAGGAAATAATGCCTTTGTTACAGCTGCTTAATTAAACCGAATTCTCAGTGAAGTGATAAACCACAGTGGAACTTTCTGAGTGTTTCTGGGGGTGCACTGATGTGGCAAGGGGGTGGATGCAAATGAGGACATTAAGCAGAAGACCTGAGAAAGGTCTTCATGGCTTCCTACCACTAGACCAAAACCTTGCTTTGATGAGCAAGATGATAAAGCCTGTAGTAATAAACAAATTTATTTTACCTTTTTGTTGTTAGCTATCTGCCAAAATGTCGATTTGTGTTCTGTGCTGAACTCGTGAGGAAATGTGACAAGCTGAATTGAGGAATATTCTCATAGAATGACCATTATGCTGAACACAATGTAAATCTTAATATAAACCAAGAGACCAAATAGAGACCTCCTAATAGACATTTCTGATCTGTTTTTCCAATTCCATTTGCTAAGAAACTTTAAAACTTGAATCCCTAAACTTTAGAATGTTAAAACTAAGAGCAGCTATCTTAGTTTTTGCTTTAAACACTCAGCCAAGAAAGGAAACTAAAATTGTTTAGCGTTAGTGGGGCATCTGCTTGTGTGTTTATATGCCAGCCAATTTAAAGCTGAAATGTTATCTCTTCAAAGTGGAGGCTGCCTGGACTCACATTAAAATAGTTTATTTTGAAAAAAAATTTAAAGATTTCCAAAGGACTGAAGGAGAAGATAAAGCCAAACCAGTGCAGTTCCTCTGTTTTTTGGGGGGTGTGAAATGGCAGAAGTCATTCAAATGGATGTTCTTAGTGGGTGATGTCGCAATTATGAAAGTTACAAAGATAGTGATAAGCACTCTGAATATTTAGCTGCTTATATCAACATATATATATATATGTAATTTTGAGTGCATTTAAGGTAGCATGTTGCTTAGCTTGGTATTCTAACTAGAATGAACATATTAATGATAGAATGCAATATAGTTTTTGTGTTACTTTAGAGAGACTGCCATGGAATGCTACATACCATTAGTAATACTAGAACATACCATTAAGTACATACCATTAGTAATACTAGAACATACCATTAAGTACATACCATTAGTAATACTAGAACCTAAATCAGAACACTAGAGGAATCAAAATAACTGTTACGAGTGACTTTGAAACAAACAAAAAACTGGGTAGTTATATTAAATTTAATTAGTGTTTTCTCTCTTGTAAATCAGCTTTTATCTTCTTATCTACAACACAAATGCATATTCACACATACACGTACACACACAGGCACTGTTCAATGAAGCACCATTTAACTTGTGCTGGAAAGGTAGCCACTCACTTAGTTGGGCAAAGCGTGTTTTTAGCGCTCAAGTTCAGCTCCAAAGTGAAAGAGTCTGTCATTATCCTGTTTCCTGGGTGGAAGTGGTTCTTTTTCTGTATTTATCATTTTTTTCCTTTCCTTCCTGATACACCCCTGTGCCACCTAAAGTTCAGCAGCAATCTTGGAAGATGCTCCTGTAACATGGATGCCAGATTCTGCTCATTAAAAGAGTTGAAGTAAAACTCGCAAGGTATAAAGGACCTGCTTTTTATTCCCTCTTTTTTTTCTTCCCTCATTTACCACACCAGACAGAGGGAATATCCTGGTCTTGTCAGAGACAGAAAATAACTGCCCGGCATTGGAAGGGAAAGCATAAAGGTAATTGTTGGTGGCTTCATGTTACAGACCACCTAGGAGACAGAGCTAGAACATGACCTCTTTTAGACCTTAAGGAAACTGAAATGCCATTTTCATTTAATTTAGGACAATACTGAAAGTGGTGGTAGACACCTTGCTGGAGATTGGAAATAAACTATTTTTACATGATGTTTGGGTTGCCTACTAGTCTAATAAGCTGGCCATGGCATTCCCTTGAGCAGAGTCTAATGTGGGATCTGTTCTTCCATCACACATTTGTGAGCTCTTCACTGTCATGAGTTGGCCACCTTGAGGGTGGACTCCTAGAGTGATAAACTGCGGGAGGTACTGTGGCTTTAGGTGAGTACGGACCAGAGGCCACCCTGTCCTCTTTGGCTGGCAGAGTTTTCTCCCTTCCTGTTAGATTTTGTTTTGGGCACTGAAGGTGCTTATGGGGGAAAGAGAAGCTCCTGCTGTGTTTCCGTGGCAGAGCGTGACCAGATGGACACACAGGGAGAAAAGGAAGAAGGTGCAGAGTATCACGGGTGGGCTAGTGTAGGGGATCTAGCAGAGTTCACGCATGTGTTCCCAGGTGAAAAGGTCTAGAAACCAGTGCTGAGAATATCAGCTGCTACCCTGAGGCTGTTTTCACCAGTATAGTTAAATCTGTTATTTCATGGTCCACAGAAGTGCTTATGTAGGAAGAATTTACTTCCATAAATTTCTACCTCAGTCATGGTATTGAGCAGCAATATGTATAGTGGATAAGAGTCAGCTAGCTGTGTCCGTTTGAATCCCAGCTCTGATATTATTAGCTATGTTGCCTTGACCTAGTCCTTAAATTTTCTGGACCTTCATGTTCTTGCTTGAAAAATGAGCACAACAGTTCCTATCTCATAAGTTAGGTGTGCTGATTTAAATGAGTCTGTGTGATGAAATTGTATGCATTTATTAAAATCAGTGAGTCATACCTGTGTGTATTGGAGGAATGGGCTTCTTCCTAATGTGCTGTATTTCATTGTCCCCACAACACTACAATAACAGTATCATTCTCATTTTACAAGTGACACCACTGAGACTCGGGGTAAGTGCCTTCTCAGAGGTCACATAGCAGACCACTGCAGACAACAGGATTTGAATCCACATCTGGCTCTGTGTGCTCTCCTTTATGCCACATTTCTGTCCAGCCAGATCCCATGCAAGTGGACAGTTAGAGCCTCATTAAAGTTGTTGGAGCCTTATTAAGTGAGCAAGTGTATACAAAATTGTGTATGTATATAAACAATAATCATAAAAAGATTTGGCCAATTATATATATATGTAAATTTTGTTTTAAAGATTATTTTTGTTAGTATAGGTATGGGAAATAATGAGAATTTACACACAGCATGTTGCCAGCAGTGGCCTATCTTGGCGAGTGGAGTGGCTTCTGAGATTTTTTTTTTTTTTACTATAATGTATAGTTTATTTTCTTTAAAAGAAATCTTTCATTGAATGCACCATCCCCCAAATTAAAATATTGTGCAGAGTTGCCACAATCATTGAAACAATAGATATTTTAAAACAAAAAAAAAAACAAATTTCCACCTGCCTTCCTATCCTTTTCGTCTTCCCATGCCCTGAGGTAAGCAGTTTGCAGCCCAGCACAAAGCCTTCCATAGCCTTCTTCATGATGACATAAAATAGAAACACATGTACACATATGGGATGTCAGTGTTTCTTTTCTTTTTTGAGACAGGGTCTCATCCTATCACCCAGGCTGGAGTGCAGTGGTATGATCTCGGTCCACTGCTGCCTCAACCTCCTGGGCTCAAATGATCCTCCCACATCAGCCTCCTGGGTAGCTGGGACCACAGGCACATGCCACCATGCACAACTGATTTCTTGTATTTTTTTTTTAGTAGAGATGGAGTTTTGCCATGTTTCTCAGGCTGTTCTTGAACTCCTGAGCTCAGGCCATCTGCCTGCCCTGGCCTCCCCAGTGATGAGATTATAGATGTGAGCCACCACTTACAGCACTTTTTTTTTTTTAATCATTGTCTTTACACAGATGCAATCCTCCTGTGCTCGTTTTCCAGCATGTTTTCTGTAACAGCATATTGTGCCCATTCCTCCAATAGATACAGATGTAACTTACTGGTTTTAACAAATGCATGCTGTTTCGTCATATGAATATGACTGTGCTTTACTCAATGACACTTCCATTGATAGAGCCTTAAATTGTTCTGCATTTTTTGGACCTACAAACAGCACTGTAGTAATGTCCTTCTACCTATTTCCTATAGTCCTGGGACTCAGACTCCAAGAAGTTGCGTGCATAATATACACTCATACAATTTTTTAAATTGTGTTTTCCACAATAAGCAGATATTTCTTTACAATCAGAAAAGAAATCTTAAATATAATAAAAATGAAATCTTAAATAAAATATAAATAACTAAATCACACATTCATAACCACACACAGATATACCCACACAAATTCCAAGGCTGGTTATTGAAAGATGTGTCTTCCAAAAGTAGAGGCATGTTTATTCAAGGACAAACATAACATGGTTGGGTGTATGTGTTCATAGCATGGGGAGTGTTTAGTATGTTTTACAATATGAGGAAAAATAAAATACATCATAAGCAAACTATCAGTTCTCTTTGAGAGAAAGCTGCTCACACACACACACAGGTGATTCTCTCTATAAAAACTTCCAAAGGAATGTTGTTTATGCTTTTGCGTAGGTCTTTTTTTGTGTGGGAGTAGATCTGAACTTTGGAAATTTACACTTGAGTAAACCTCAAACTCCAAAATACATCCCTCCTCCCCAAAAAGGGCGTTGTACTGAAATAAAATCTGTTCCTGGTTTCTTCTGGTATGTTATGTCAAAGTTGTTGACTGGATTCAGTAAAGGCAGCTGTACTGTATTTCAGAAATAGTATGAAGTAGATTTTATTGTTATAAAGCAAGATACACTTGAAGCCACAATCTGGGAAAATAGCAGCAATAACAAAATGTCATTTGGGCAGAATTACTCAGCCACAGATGTCCAGAGAGATATAGGAAGAGGTCCACATGCACTTTTTGTAGACAAACTAGTCAAGGTTAAATAAAAGCGCAATTTTGAGTCTTAGGCTGGATGTCAAGAAATTGCCTCAAAGGTGAAACAGCCCCAGCCCCAGAAGAGGTTCTGTTGTTACTTGAGTCACTAAACCATTTGGATGGAGGCCAGAGCAGCCTTCTCTTGGTCAAGTTCCCATCTGTAGGAAATAATGCCTGGTGACATCACAGGATCACTTTGAGTCAGTGGTAAGGCATAATGCAAAGAGTAATGGGAAACACTCTACACGTGAGAGAATTCTGTAGAGCAGGGAATATGCTGGTGTGTTTGCCTCCCTGGCAAAGCCAGCATGGCTGTGAGAGCCAGTTGCACAACAGACAAGAGGCCTGCATTATCTCGAAGCTCAGATTCTTTGTGGTTTGGGGAAGACAGAACCCTGTAAGGATCTGATGAAAGTTATGGATCTTCATGTCAAAAACTGCACATTCTCAGAGGCTCTCATCCCCTCTCCCTCTCACTTACACATGCAATTTTATGGGACTTACAGACTCCTTCGGACCCTTCATAAACCTCTGTTAAGAATTCTTAAGTTCTTTGCAGGGTCCTAGACAAAGCTCTGAAAATTGATATTCTTCCTCAGTCAAGATCAACTCAATGCTAAAATGGATTTTCTGTTTTTCAACTGAATAAATAAACACCCATAGGAGCACTTTACAGAATATGGAGACTTGAGGGTCTGAGGTACCAAATAGCATGGAAATGATAGGTGGAGACTTACAGGGATGTGGAAGGCCTTCTTTTCATGAGTTGAGTTCATCATCTGATGGCTGCTTCAATGAGATGGGAAAGTTTTCAGTTTTTCTGTATAGGTCTGAAGGAGCTTAGTCTAAATATCGTGATGTAAATATGACCACATATAAATATACACAGACACACACACATACATATGTATACATTCTGTTTCTCTCTCTCTCTCTCTCTCTCTCTCTCCCCCCTCCCCTCCCCCATACCTAATTGAATAGATCCCACGGAGCAAACTTCAACAATGGTGCAGTGATTTACAAAATAACTTGAGTTTCACCCTTACAACAGTCAGATCCTCAGTGGCAGACTTCTTACTTCTCTCAGAGTGAAATTCACTATTACACAGGGGTAATTTGCAGTGTACCACATTCAGAAAAGCTGGTTAAAGTGTAGTCTCTGTCGTTTACAAATTTGGGCTGATTCTCAACACCTATCCACCTCCATGTTCTCATCCAAAATATGCAAATCATAATAGCACTTTCAAAATAAGCTTGTTGGAATTTGTAAATTAAAAAACTTAAAGTGTTTATGTGGGCCTTGGCACATCTAACATGCTAAATAACTGGTAACTCAAATTGATTACTCTTTATGATTATCTAGCAGTAGCTGTTTATTGGTCTTAGACCCCATAGAGTAGGATTGCCTTTTATCTATTTGGGTTGCTATAATAAAATACGTTAAACTGGGTAATTTATAAGGAACAGAAATTTACTGTTAATAGTTTTCAAGGCTGGGAAGTCCAAGGTCAAGGTGCTGACATATTCAATGTTTAGAAAGGCTCTCTGCATCAAAGATGGTGCCTTATTGTTTTATCCTCACATGGCGAAATAGCCACAGGAGCTTCCTTGAGTCTCTTTTAAAAGGGCCCTAATCCTACTCCCAAGGATAGAACCCTCATGACTTAATCACCTCCTAAAGACCCCAGAGCTGTGTGCTCTGGAGAGAGCACTATCAAAGACATCCCACAGGAGGGAGCTTTGGGGAGGGACACAAATCTATGCTGCATTTCTCCTCTCTCCCTTGGTTTTCCTCTGCTGTGCCCCATTGACTGATCCCAGCTAGAAGCCAGGGAGTAAGGGAGACCAGGGAATCATTCTATACAGGATATCATCATTGGAGACAGAGGGAAGGTGGGAAAAGGGGAGCTCTCTGGTAGGAGGAGGAAATGTGATATGGCACACGATGCTCTTAGCATGGATTCCTCCAGTACCAGGGGCTCTTGCTTTTATAAATCCTAGTCATCACAAACATCTGCATCTCTGATTACATGTGGAGTTGCAATGTAAAACATAAGTGAGTAAAGGAAGCGTGAGCAGAACTTTCCATAGAAATCCACTCACAGCAGAAGTTAGTCATGTAAGGGTTTCTCATCGCTTGGGTTGATCAAGCTTTCCTCTAGATTCATCTTTCAGAAAAGTTGCTTTTGGAAAGACATACTAAGCTCTCAATTTGGGTTTGAAAGCAGGGAAAAACCCTCTTTGCTAGAATGAATGAATGAAAATTGACCTCTTAGAGAATGATTCATCAACCATGCATGAGTGAGTGACTCCATTCAGAAAAGTATTAATTTAGTCCTGTCCCAAAACATCACATCACATTGCATGGCAGATTAAGGTCAGCAAAAATGAGTGTTTTGACAACCCTGCAATCAGTGCTAATAGAGGCATTAAAAATAAGTGTCTTGAGAATGTGGGTTGTACTTGATTTTAATGTGATTTTTTTAACTTACTCTATTTTGGTTTCATCATTCTTTCTCCAGAAATTTCACTGATCTCTTAAGACTTTGACTTCTTTATCTGTAACTCTGAATGTATAGTAACGCACACCACCAAGATGGTAATTCTGTAACATCCCACATTTTTAGCACACAGGATATTCATGTCTATTAACAAGTGTATTTAGGCAGTGAGTTCAATCATGCAAAATTGAAAAAGGCAAAAGTTTGCTGATTTCACCAGGCTCTTTAAGAAACTTGTGTTTGTTTGGTGGTGATACTTGTCTTAAAAAGATAAATTGCCTAGTATTTGGGGCGGACTTAGAATTCTACTTTCATCACCCTGAAAACTTGTTTCTCTGCCTTTTTATAGCTGGGATCACTGATTTTATTATTCAGAAAGAAAAAGTACATGTAATGTCCCTGCTAAAGTCAGGCTATGGCCTTCTTCTTTGTCACACTGGAACCTAGAAACACTAGCAGTTGTCTTGACTTGTAGATTGACTGTGGGACATAGTGCAACTTAGGTCTTGAGGATACAATTTTGCTCAGCCTATGTCACGTGTGTAGGTATCAGCTTTATATCAGCTTTAGTTTTGGATGGCTTTGGGTAACAACTCTAATCATATATGTAAACTGTATTATTTTAATCCGTCTCATTTAGACCGTATTCTCCCATCCATAACACTGGATAGAGCTCATTTTCTCGGTTTGGGGTAGGGGAGGGTAAAGAAAAGATGTTGGCAGAAAATAGGCAGCTCCCTAACCCACTGTGTGTGTATGTGTATGTGTGTATAATATAAGAGTGTGTGTGTGTGTGTGTGTGTGTGTGTGTATGCAGGCATGTGCGTAATTTTCTCCAAAAGACATGACTCCCTGCAGAATGACAGCAACATAATTGAAGATGACTTCACTTGATTTTTCTCTCCTTTTGTCCCTTTCTTCTTGCCTCATCGCTTGGGCCCCCTTTTTCTTTCTTTCTATTGTATTTCTCCTGAACTTTCAAATTATGTGACTCTAAGTTTTGGCAGTCAAATATACATTTGTTAAGAGGCTTACTGCTTAGGTAGTAGGCAAAAATTGGTTTGATCACCATGAGGAATCATAGGAAAAATTTAAAGATTCAGGGAGCAGTTAATTTGGTCTCCTGCTTGTCTAAGGAGAAAACAGAGGCATGCAGAGCTGAAGGACTTGTTCCCATTCCATCATCTGATGGCTGCAGAGCTGGGACCGAACCCAGTCTTTTTTGCCCTTTCTACAATGCAATCCAGGTTCTTTCAAATGCCCTCCTCTTTCTTCTTCTGAACTTTTTTTTGAGACAGAATTTCACGCTGTCTCCCAGGCTGGAGTGCAGTGGCATCATCTCAGCTCAACAATCTGTTGAACCTCTGCCTCCCAGGTTCAAGAGATTCTCCTGCTCAGTCTCCCAAGTAGCTGGGATAACAGGCACGTGCCACCCCGCCCAGCAAATTTTTTGCATTTTTAGTAGAGGTGGGTTTTCACCATGTTGCCCAGGGTAGTCTCGATTTTCTGACCTCAAGTAATCTACCCACCTCTGCCTCCCAAAGTGCTGGGGTTAGAGGCGTGAGCCACTGCAGCCGGCCCTCTCCTTCGGAACTGTCTTGGTAAGGTTCACATTTGCCGATAAGCAATTTATTTTTTTTAAGCACACCTCACATTTTTGTCTCAACTGCAAACATGCAGTTTGGTAGTTAACTTTCTATTCAATTTGACTGCTGTTTCTCGCATTTCTACTTCAGAACGTCACTTATTCTTCAAATTCTGGGAGAATAAGATGAGATGAGGATTCTTGGAGCAACTTCTTGTGTGGCAATTCACTAAGCTCGTGACACATGTTAGTTTGGAAAGGAGATTTGCCTGGAAAATGGGGTCTCCAAGCCCACTGGGAGGGCTAAGGTAGTACAGTGGAGTCAGTTGTGCAAAGATGGCTTTTCCAGGTTCCAGGCACCGATGTGAAGTGCGAGCACCACACATATTGTATTTGCTCTATAGTTATTTGTGAACTTTCTCAAGAAGTATCTGTGTAATTATAAACCCCTGTTCTTCCTTTTTGATACAATACCATTTATGGTCATTGCTTTTTTAGGCAATCATTAAATTACAGAGATACTCATTTTTGTGATAAACATGAAATCCTTTAGAGCTGGGAGATTTTCTGCTGTATTAACTTTCTTACTTTTAAAAAACAAAACATCATTTTGCTGTCCTGTACCACACTTCAAAGGAATGACACCTTATCACAGCCCTTTGGTGAGCTGAGAGATACAAAACTTGGTTATATTTGACAGCATGCCCCAATAGGACTGTGCTATAAATAAAGGGATTGTTTAGCACAGAGCTGAACTGCCAGCGATGGAAAGGGGCTAGATGTGGGGGATGCTTGATTTGTTGTAAAAAGCACCTTCTTGTCTTTTAGGTTGAATCCATACTGGTTTCTGCCTTTTGGCTATTTCGCTGTATTAAAACTGCTTGTTCCCACTTTGGGAGGCTAAGCCAGGTGAATTACTTCAGGTCAGGAGTTTGAGACCAGCCTGGCCAACACTGAGAAACCTCATCTCTACTAAAAATACAAAAATTATTTGTGCATGGTGGTGGGCTCCCATAATCCCAGATACTCTGGAGGCTGAAGCAAAGAATCGCTTGAACCCGGGAGGCGGAGGTTGCAGTGAGCTGAGATTGCACCACTGCGCTCCAGCCGGATTCCCAGGAAAAAAAAGTACTTGTTTCACTGAACTCATTGACTTCATTTCTGTTTTTAAAGAAGTCTTGTGAGGGGAGTGGCTAAGAAGGATTTCTCAGCTATACCAGCTCATTCTGCCTAATTAGCCTGGTCAAGTACTCAGTTTGGTTGTATCCTGGGGCAAGTTCTCTTGATGGTGAGAAGATTAGCAGTTAAGAGGCTCCAAGAGAGGGGTTAGAGTGTACTTAGAGGACAGCCTTTAGCTTTAGAAGATAATTGATGTTTGACATTTTTTCTCTTTATAGGCCGAGTGTCAAATGTCGAACAGGGCTAGAGCCCCCTCATTAATCCTGACAACTGTTACTTCTCTCTGATGTTAGAATAAAGGGTATTTGCCCTTTTAATTTCAGGCCTTCTTGCCTCCTGTAAACCACTCGTCCAGAGGATGTACTAAGAGGCTGGCTGGATGCTCTTCTGGGCAGCTAGAACTTTGCATGTGTGGCAAGGCAAACTTGACCAGCTTATCTTGAATGAGATAGAAACACCCTTATATATTTGCTGTGAATTTTTTTAAAGTGTTAATGTTTAGACAGGGCACAGTGGCTCATGCCTGTAATCCCAACACTTTGGGAGGCCAAGGTGGGCGGATCACTTGAGGTCAGGAGTTCAAGACCAGTCTGACCAACATGAAGAAACCCTGTCTCTACTAAAAATACAAAAAAATTAGCCGGACATGGTGGCACATGCCTGTATTTCCAGCTACTTGGGAGGCTGAGGCAGGAAAATCGCTTGAACCCAGGAGGCGGAGGCTGCGGTGAGCTGAGATTGCACCATTGTACTCCAGACTGGGCAACAAAAGCGAAATTCTGTCTCAAAAAAAAAGGGTTAATGTTTAGTACTCACTATGGTAAGGACCGTGTGCGCGTGTGCGCGTGTGTGTGTGTATTTGTGTGTTGTGTGTGTGTGTGTGGCTATTTTTAAAGCCTGATAAAGTATTTTTGGTGGACTTGCATAGATTTGGAAAAATGAAAACCATCTCTGACACTCACCTTTTACCACTGAGGTATTCCCATATAACAGGGGTTGGCAAACTTTTCCTGTAAAGAGCCAGGTGATAAATATTCTGCTTTAGGGGTCATACAGTCTCTGTTTTAGCTACTCAGCTCTGCCACTGGTGTGAAAGCAGTTATAGGCAATATGTAAATGGTGAGCATGGCTTTGTTCTAATAAAACTTTATTTAATAAAACAAGTTGTGGGCTAGATATGACCTGGAGGATGAGGTGTATGAACCTCTGCTGGGAAGTTCTGCTGCTTATAGCTCTGGCTTTGTGTCTGGATTTCATCTTAGAGGCTACTCTGCCCCTCGCTTTGCCTCCTCATCTTTCCAGATACCACATTGCAGATTGTCACTTGCTGCAGTCTGTAATAAGAACATATGATTCTGGGGTGCTATATATACACTCTGTCTTTCCCTGGCAACCGAAGGACCTGGAGATCTTGCCTAGCTATTGATCTGCTCTGGGGTCCTACCTTAATATGTTCTGGGGTCCTGTCCTGCCAGAGAGGATCACTGTAGAACCTCTAAGAGGCCTTTGGGACAGGTAAAACCTATCAGCATTTCAACAAGTAACCTCTGGTTTCCAGCCAACTATCAACAACCAACCTCTGTATCTTACTATAGGCTCTGAGATAAGCCTAATTTTGGCACTGTGGGACACAAAAGAGCTGAAAATCTCCCTTTTGCTAATGATCTATGTGGTATTATCTCACTTTATTTCCGGTCTCTAGCCTAACAGCTCCAGGAGCTATCTTTTTAGAATTCCAGCTGTTTTTCCCAAGTTCCCCATTAAGCCATTGAAATCCAAATGTTGCATATCCTTAGATTTCAAAATGCAGGAGGGAATCTGCATTTTTTTATTGAAAAAGGGAGGGGTTACTCTTGCAAAATAAAGCTGCTCCCTCTGCCTCATCCCTCTTGGCTTGATGTGACTATTTCTCAGAGTACCTGATTGGTTGCTGTCTCTGGACAGTTCTGCTCCTTGTTTGTACTGCTGTTCCACGCTTGCAGTGACTCAGGTGTGCTTGGAACCAGGACGCAACCAACTGTGGTTGAGTTACATGCACCCTGACAGCTGGAATGTACAGTGTGATTTATGGGAGTTGTTCACACAGAGATCCCCAGATAGCTTGGTTTTCTGACAGCCATGTGAAGTTTTGAGGTCCAGGAAAAAGGAATACACTCCAAGCAACCAATGGATGGTAATGACATATCTAAGCACTGTGATGAATTGATCCAGGACTTGTTTTATGTCAACTTAGAGTATATTAGAATAGAACACAACATTAGATTTCCATACAACTGAGTTAGCAGCTAGCAATTTAACCACATGAACTTTGTTACTTTGGAAGAGCTTTTTAAAATTTCTGAAAGAGGGATAAGAGGTAGGGGAAGAAAATCAGTCCGTGTGACTACACATTAAATGGACCAAAACTTAGCAAATTCACAGCGTGGGCAAACAGATTTAATGGTTTATTTTTATCAATTGTTTTACAATAGAATTTGAAACAAGAATGACTTTGGATACCTCAATTCTACCTATTCACTCCAGCTTCCTTTTCTTTAAAAGAAAGATACCAAATGAAATGATTTTTAAGACCTTTCTTGCATGGAGTCAAAATTTTTTTGACGCAAACCTAATTAGATTTCTAAAAATTGTCATACTGTCCCTTGCTCAAGTACAAAATTGCCTAGGAAAATTTTCCTAGACCCAATCCCATGCTCCATTCTTTACCCTGCCGTATCCCAGCCCGAGGATTGGAGTGAGTGGAAAGTATATTCCTGTTTTTTTCAAAACAGTGCTTGGGACACATTTGTGACCACACTTGCACTGCCACTTCTGCTCTTTGGGTTCTGAGCAGCCGTCTTAGAGATCAGCTCTTGGAGCAGTCTATTGATGAGGTGAGGGCTGCCTGCTCAGGGGAGATAATGGTAGAGGTCTCCAGGCTCTTCTCTGGGGGCTCTCACTCCAGCAGCTGCGGCTTTGATTGAAAAGGTATGTGGCCCTCTGGAGCTGACTTCAACCAAATGGCATTGGTCTTTGAAAAATGTACTTTAGCACAGCCCCTGTGGAACATGTTTACTTAAGGATTTTAACCCCGCTTAGAAGTGAGAATGTGACTACAGCTGGACTGCCCCTCACTGAAAGCATTTGCTACGAATGTGTCTTCTGCTAATATGTTTAAAGATCTATAATAAAAACAGAGTCATTCTGAAATAAAAGGGCATTGACATAAAAAGCAGTAATGGTTGATGCTATCTGTTTTTTAAGATAAGGGTTTTGTCACAAAGGCACGATTTATGGTGGGAATACTGAGTAGCAGTAGTGTGGCAGGTGATAAATCACTTTTCTCACCACTGGATATTGAGAAAAGGGATACAAAGACCTTTTAAAAATAGGAAAAATAAAAGCACTTTAGGCATGTTGTTTATGGAACACATAGTAGAGAAAGTGCAGTAGGACTGAGATTGTGTGTATGTCGTTGACTGAAATGTTTTAGTCTCATTTGGAGGAAAACCATAGTTAAGATACATTTTGTAAAACTGAATCTTGAATAACTTAGTCCACACACTGGACAGCAAAAATCATGCTTTTTAATGTAGGGCTTTCATGCAAGTTGAAGAGGTAGCTGTGATGATGATAAAAATTACTATCTTTCTCTTCTTTTTATCTTGTGCACAAGTTTTCTTCTGCCCACAGCCAGGTAGTGAGGAGCAAACAAAAGCAGACACATTTATAGGATGTTAAGGGCAAGAACAAAACTAGTACCTTAGAGATGCTTTGGGAACCTCTTGGAAGGCATGAGTCCAGGGAGTGGTTATAGAGCCTGGGGACCTCCTGGGCATCTCCATTGTCCTCCTTTGTTCCCTGTGCTGGTGGAAACTTGATATATTGCCACATGGATGGGGCTCATACGGGCCACCACTGATGCTTCCTTGTATATGGGAAGACTCTGCTCCCAGATCAGTCAAAATCAAGAGTTAGCCTTTGAGGAAACCTGAATCTAGGCAGCTGGTCAATTGGAGCAATAGATTATCTTAGAGAGGATTCCTTCTTTTTTAGAGGACTCCGAGAATGCATAATTCCATCAGTAAGTGAGCATGTGGGTTAATGCTGCATTAATTACGTGTCTGGGGATATGTCAGGTGCAGGTGTGAGGACTCCTATGCCACATAGCATAACACCAAAAATCAATTCAAGAATTGTTTTCATATGCAGCCTTTACTTTTTGGCCAGTACAGAAACAAGTGAAATATGCCTGTAATTAATGCTATAAAATAGCAGTTCATGGTCTTGAATTTTGCTAATAAATTTGTCGTCTCTTCTAGATGTGTGCCTCATAAGATGGTCAGTCAGTATTCATTTGTTTCATCACTCATTTGTTTTCTCATTCATGCATTTATTCATTCCCTTGAGAAGTACTTGAGACCCTCTACATGCCCATTGTTGTCCTTGGTGCCAATACACAGTGGAGTAGAAAACAGGACTCCTGTCTTCATGCTGCTTAATCCTAGTAGGGCAGAGCCAGGCAGTAAGTGATACCACGTATATAACGTGTCGGTGGGGTAGTATAAGTGCTTGGAAGAAAAATGAAGCAGGGTAAGAGGACAGAAAGTAATAGAAGGCTAAAGGCTGAAATGGCATCATTTTCTCAGTCCCTCTCAGGTGTCAGTGTCACCCAACTCCTCTATGCCACCTGCCTTTTATTCTGAAAACAGCCTTGTGAGAGGGCAAGCAGGACTGTCATTTCCATTTACAGAAGATGAAACTCAGGCACAGTGTTTAGGAGATGGCCAAGATGGCACAGCAGGTTGATGTCAGGTCACTTAGAGCCCCTGTTCTCAACCCCTCAAGAGTTCCTTCTGTTCACCATTGCCAGCCCTAGTCTGGCCCAGCACCTGGCGCTTTGGCCAGGGGCAGGCTCAGTGAGTGCATGTTTGAACTGAGGTTCTGTGCTAAGCACTGGGAAGGAAGAGAAAGGTAACCTCAGGTCCTGCATGGAGAAGACCCCAAACTAATGAGGAGTGCGCCTAGGAATACCCTGCCACAGGGCTGAGGTTTGGCACAGGGCTGTCTGTCCGCTGTGTCTGTCTATATATTGTGTGTGTGCGGGTGTGAGGGTGGGAGGCTTCTGAGAAAGCTTCACTGAGGAGCAGCTGATCTCATTGCAGAGAAGACGAGAAAGGCATTCTGTGCAGTGGAAATTGTCAGTGTAGAAGCCTTGGGGCTTAAAAGAACGTGACATGCAAGAGACAGGAAATATGTACTCTTGTACAGGTATGCGGCACACGTGTGGCCCCCTCCCTCCCAGCGTCCTCACTAAAGATTATTAACCTGCTTACTCTGGTTCACCTGAGGCTGTTTTGAGAGAATCTCAGAATCTCAGTCTTCATTTCACGCGACATTCTTCGGGCTCCTCTTGTTCATCTTTACAGACTGAAGTATTTATGAAGGACCTTCAGAAATCTGATTCCTCCTGATGAATCAAAGAGTAAAGAAGAATTGAACATGATTAACCAGGTGAGGCAATCTGATGAAAAGGGGTGTGCGATGTAGAATAGGTGAGCTAGGTTCAAAGCTCAGCTGCAGCACTTACCTTGGGCCAGTTATTTTACTTCATAGGACCTCAGTTTTGTCATCTAGAAATGGGAATAATGATACCTACCTCCTGAGAGATAAAGAGCAGAACAAGAATTTCAGCAAGGCCCTATCATTTCAGCTATCCTTTTCCTGCTACAGTGCAAATCTTTTTTTAAAAACTGTAGATCTGGCTTCCACTAATCAAATAGAAACAGAACATAAACTTGGGTCTCTGTGTTGCCCCGAGATATGAGTATCACCTGTTTTAATCTCAGGATTTTACTTTCCTCCTCATACTGTGGCTGATTATTTAATATTTAGGTAATCATGTAGCAAATATCATGTGTTAGAATGTAGGGCTCTAAAAAGGGTATGCCACAAACGGTTTGGTTGTTGGCCAGCAAGTCCCAAGCTGCCTCTGCTGCCATGTGCTACCATATCAAATGAGTTGCCCGGGAATCCCCTGCTGACATCGATCTGTCTCAATGTGGGTGATATTTGGAAGGTCATTTTGGTGTGTATTTGTGTTGATCATTACAGTAATGACATGCATTTACCACAGTTCTGTAGGAGAGCGACTCTCAGCTGGGGTTTAGCTACAGAGCCTTTTGGATCTCCAGGTATCTCAAAGGCTGGAAAACTCAAGTCAAAACTAGTTTTAATTTTACTGCTTCAGAGATGCAGTTTGAAACATATGACAGCAACGAGTGTCTATTTTTGTAGCAACTCAAGCCTCCAGCTTTTTTAAGGAAAGATGTATAATAAAGGTACATTAATTGTTTGTGGGGCTTTTAACCTTGATTTAAAAAAAAAAAACAGACTTTCCTGTTCATTATCATATCTAGCTCTGGGGAGACAGCAGGTTAGTGATGATCTGTACCATTTTACAGGTGAGATCCCTGAGGTGGCTTGTGGCTTTGGTCCACGAAGCCATTTATTTTTGACTCCTGGCTTCATATGGCTCCTCCCTTGGCTGGCTCCTTCTTATTCCTAAACCCCTATCTTTGTAGCTTGTCTAATACCTATCAAAAGAAGTTGTACCTGATTTCTCTATTGGAAGTTAAACCATTTTTCCAACCTCTGGTTTCCCTTCAACCCCTTGTTTATTTCATTATTGCATTAGCCACTAGTTTTATATTCTTTATTAGGTTTTTTAACTATAATTTTATTGATTAGTCTCTCTCCAGCATTAGAACAAAAACACATAAACTCCATGAAGGCAAGGACCCCATTGTTGTATTTTTGTTGATTTAAGGAAGTGCCTGACACACCAGACACCCTTTGTTAATGTTTTTGAAAGGGGGATAGAAGCTAAGTTTTCTTAGTTAATGTTTTTGGAAGGGAGATAGAAGCTAAGTTGAACATGAGTGCCCGTGTTCCAGCAGCACAAAGTGGATGGGAGGAAGGCTGTTTGAGGTATGAGAATTACTATAAAAGGGCATTTTTACAAATGAACCAGTTTTATACTTCAGTATGTGTAGAGTTTTCTGAATCATGTTTGGCAGATAAATAAGACTTGCTTGGGAGGGGGAATTTTTTTTTTTTAATTTAGTGGACTTTGAATTATAAGGAATTCCAATGCTTGTTCTTGTTCTGCTTGAGTAGAATTGATAAAATCTGTTAATCATCAGTTTTGCTTTAAACCCTTGAGGAATTTTTAAACTTTGGAAACTCAGGTCATGATTTTGAACTTCTATTTCTGATAACGTACCTGGCATTAAAAAAAAACATATTCTAGTGCTACTAATTTTTTAAAGCCTTCTCATGTTCATATATATTTTGAAAGTCTTGTTCCTAAAACCCCATTTTACAGATTGTAGACTCCAACATATGGAAATAATTAGGACATTGTCTGCTCGTGTGGAAGTATCCAGGGAAGTTATGAAAAGCTCCAGGAAGGATAGATGTCCATGTTGATAAAACTACCAGATTCTTAAAACATGTTGTTTTTACATCATGCCATATGGGTGGACCAGAACAATTCTGTTCTGGATGACTCTTTGGAGGGCATGCCTAATAACAGCTAGGTTTTTCTCTTACGGTTTTCCACTGTTCCAACTCTGTTACTTTAAGTATTTGGAGCTACAAGTAATAGAGATTTCAAATCCAAACAGGTTAAACATGTTATTTTAGGTACAAGGATGGGTGATTCCCAGGTTGGTGAGTTGAGTAGCTGAGTGGCCTTGTCAAGGATCCAAGTTGTTTGTGGTCATGCTTAGCATGTCGGAGTTGTCTCCTCATGGTCAAAATACGGCTGCCACAGGCTCGGGCGTTACGTCGACGCATGACAGTCTCCAGAGACACCAGCAAGACATCGTTTTCTTGTCTCTGTAGGTGTGAAGAAGGCTTTCCAAGAAGCCCTAGACTAGACTGCCCTTTGTCAGTGGTTTGCTGGACAGAATGAGTCACATTACTAATAGTACTGTGGGCCATAAATTATTGTGAATGGCTTGGAGCAATTAGGATTTATGCACTTTCTCTGAGGGCAAATAAAATATGAGTCACACCATCAAAGGAAAGGCAGCAAAGAGATGAGTAGGCAATAAGTGGGCATTGCCATACCAGATTCATCCCACTGAAAGCCCCTCTCTGGATACATTTTTTGCTCTCAAATAATGAGCATTTGACAAAATCAAGACAAAGAGGTGGTTCTTTTGATGCAGAGTTCCTTCCATAAATTCTGATTTTCCTTCTGAATTTTCTAAGAGAATTTCATGGATAAGGACTTCCCTTCACTATTTTCTCTTACGGGTTGTGCTCACAGTTCATGTGACTATTTTGAGAAAACGTTATCATTGCATTTTAATTTGAAGACTTGTGAGCCTGCCTGCTTATCAGTTGAGATTTTGCTAGAGAATGTATCATTTTGTGTAAACTAGGAAAAGAAATTGGTTCAAGTAAGTCTAACTGCAAAGTTGCTGAATCAAGATATCCCTCTCTCTCACACAGCAAACATTTAAAATACAATTTAAAATTGTCAAACAATGATCATGTCACATCTGGAAATTTCAGGTTTTTACTCCCTTGTTTTTTTTCCTAATAACCTGAATGCTCTGGATATTCAGGATTTCAGCTGTTTGACTTTGCTGGAGGTAAGAAAAGGTATCCAGTTTATTTCACTTTTCTCAGATGTGACTCATTTCTTTGACATAAAAATCCTTATCTCACAGACTAAGCCTCAGGAATTGGTTTGAAGAATGAAGACAAACCTGGCTTTTATGAGAATAGGATTTTTTTTTTTTTGGAAACATAGTTTTCAACAAAGAGTCAGGTTGGAAAGCGGTAGGATTTGTCCCAACTTCCCAGGGCATAGTGGAAGGTGAAATAAGACTACAGATTTATGAGCCCGATCCTTAGACACAACATTCAGAAACATGAACTGTTGGTTCATTCAACTTTCTCTTCTTTTCAGATGAGGAGATGTAGGCCTAGAGAGATTAAGTGACTTAAGCACTTCCATTAACTTTTGGTGGATATAATATTTCCCAAAAGCACTGAAGAACAGGGAGTATATACAGTATTTTATAGTGCTATGCTGTCTAATATTGTGTGTACAGTTACCTTAACATTCTGTACTTTGGTAACTTTGATAATGCAGATATAGAAACTGGTAGTGATGGTGGTGATGAGGATAACCATGAAAATCGTAATTTATTGAGCACTTACTGTATGCTGGGCAGAATGTTTATAGCTTTACTAGCCCTAACATGATAATTATCTGATTGCCCCCATTTTACAGATGAAGAAAGTGAAGTTTAGAGGTTAGACTTGCCCAGTGTTACACAGCTGGAAGTAGCAGAGTTAGCATTCTAGCTCATATTTGCCTGATTTCAGAGCCTGAGCTCTAAATTATGAGGCTTACCACTAATTACTGGGGAGGGAGAGGATAGTGTTTATGATGCTGAGAAGGAAAGTTCCTGAGTGGCATCAGGAATGACTTGGAAAAGTGAAAAGCCCTAAGAAGGATAAGACCATCCAGTGGGCACAGGGGATTGTGTAGATCAGGTGAAAATTGGAGCTGCCTCTTCAACCCACAAGAGAAAATGCAGGGCAGAAAAGAAACCTCAAGAAAAGGGGTTGAGCGTTGAAAGGAGAAGTTGGCTACAGGCCCTGGAAGGGCTGATGGAATGTAGATGGGGCAGAGGTTGAGATCCTGGCCCCCTCCATGTCATACACCCCAAATTGAGGCCACATGGCTGTCAGTGAAAAACAGACCCAGGTGCTAGTTTCAATAAAAGGTGGGACAAGGACACACAGAAGGGTAGGAAGGGCAGACAACAGCTAAGGTCTCAATAGCTCTGCAAAGTAGGCACATGGCTCCCAGGATTAGCAAACACATTTTTCATGAGAAGACAGAATTTTCTAGATGTGAAGTGACTGTTCTAAATCATCAGCTGAGATTGTCAGTCCCCATCTTTGGGGTATGTGGTGTAGAGTTATACAGATTTGGCTACAGAAGGCATGACTCGGGCAGAGAGAACTAGAGGAGCCAGGAAGAAGGCAGAATAGGCACAGCCTCTAAATCAGCAACTGTGCTCCTGGCAGCCCAGAAACCCAGGGGAGAACTTATGTTTTCACGGTGGTTGCATGTTCATGATCATAATTACACTAATACCCAATAACAGAGAGGTTACCTTGTGGTTATGAGCCTGGGCTCTGGAGCCAGCCTGCCTCAAGTTCTACCTCTGCATCTTCTCGCTGGGTTACCTCTATTAGATTGTTTTCCCTCTCTGGGCCTCAGTTGCGTCTTATGCAAAATTGGAATAATAATTGTACCTCATAGGATGTTGTAAGAGTTCATTAAGCATGTACAGCAGGAGTCAGAAACCTTTTCTATTAAGGACCCAATAGTAAATATTTTTGGCATTTATTCCCATATAGTCTCTGTCATGACTATTTAACTCTGCCTTAAGTTGGTAGAAAATTTAGGCATTTCAAAA